AACGTTTCTAATTTTTAGATTCATCAAGGGAGCAGCAGTTTGCTGAGTAAGTTGATTCAACAGTCTTATCATGGGAAGGTAGAGGTGGTTTCCCTCAGTGGCATCACTCCCATTCAGATGCTCTTGGAGATTGGTTTGGATAAGATGAAGAAGGATTATGTCAATTTTTTCATAGGTAAGCCTGATATCTGTTGAGGTGATTAGAAATTCAAGAGAAAAGGTATTCCGTGCAGGAAATAACGAAGTTTTGGGTGACCTTGCTATCACTTCTGCTCCCATCTGCGGAAGTGCTGTTTCCAGCCTCCTTAGTAGTTGTACTTTTCAGCTGTGTATGGTTTCAAAATTTTAAAAATTAATTTGTTTCAAAATAACTACAGCTTGCATAACTGTATATTTCTTTTTCAAGTTGAACAGACCTTTAGAGTGAATTGCAAGTAAAATAAATACCAGATGTATATAATTGTGGACTGGTTTTTTTTTTCTTATCTGTTTGCTATAGGTGAAAATATAAGGCCCTTGTGCTCTTTCTGTCTTTCCCTTTATGCTCTACATGGGTTAAAAGGAAATTGGGCAAATGCATTCCTGTGCCATAGCTGTGTTTGTACAGTCCACAGTATTTATAAGAATAATCAAAAATATCTTTCTATATGTAGTACACTGGAAACAAAAGCTAGGGAGGAAAGATTTTTGTGAAGTACAGTTTTTCTTGAAAACATTGTGGCTTTGTTTTCAGTATTGTAGCTTTATTTTTTTTCTGACTCTGTGGGAGGGGTTTGTGTTTTACCATTGTTGTTGTCACTTTTCCATCATTTTTCCGTTTCTTTTTTGCTTCGTCATCCTGTTTTCATTCTTGTTTCATTGGCTTTTTGTGAACCTGTGTGTCCCAAGGAGAGTGGTTGTCTCAAAGTATGTGGTAGGTTTCTTCAGTGTGCAGCCTTGGTGGTCAATAAAATAATGCCTCTACCCTGCCACTTTGCAGTCTTTTTCCTTGTTTTGGATGAGCAATCATGTCCATAAGTGCGGTCTCAGTAGCTTTGTGCATTTCTTTGGTAGAATTCCCTATTTGGTTACCTGAATGTTGCTTATATTTCATCTGACACTATCTAGTAAATTTTAATTTGTTTTTTTTTTCCCCCTGTTCATTTTACAGGCCAGGAGCTTGCAACGTTAACCTACTTGGTGAGGCGCTTGATTTTTGTCTTTTTTTTTTTTTTTAAGAACTCTGAAAGCGGTGCAAAGTGGGGCACACTTAGCTGACGGTGGGATGCAAGTCCTATCATTGCTGTACTCTGAGAAACTGAATTGTGAATCATGGGGATGGAACAACACACTGCAGAAACGTCACGGTGTTGTTTCCGTGTCCGTGTGTTATTTCCCAGCTATCTGATCTGGGCCGTTGTCAGGCAGGGCTATGAATCTTTGTTCGTACTTTGATCACATGGAACTTTGCTCTGACTCTGCTGGGCCATTCGTAAAATTTTGGCTTCTCAAAAGAAGCAGGAGAATTATTTTAATATATGGAGGATGTGTTGTGTGCTTGTAGAAATGGAGTGTCCAGTTAAGAGCAGAAGCTGTTTGCTGTTCCAGGATTACTTCATTTCCACGTCAGTAGATCTACAAGAACAAGTTCATCGTGTTCAAAAGCTTCACCATATGCTGGAAATAATGGTCAGCTGTACAGTCTTACTTCAGTTTAAACATGAGAACCTCATCCCTTTGACACAGTAATGATTTAATTTTTACTTCTTGCTCTTTGAATGACAATAACCAATAGATTCTCTTCAACAGTTGTGAAGAAACTCTTTTTTTAAAAAAATTTCCTTAATGGTGATGATACTAAGACTGCAGAAGTAGCAGTTCCATCTTCCTGCTAAATTTTGCTTTGTGACTAAAACTGAAAACTAAATGAAATCATAAAATCTCAGAGTACAGTTAATTTTGCACAAGGTTTATGTAGTGTTGCTACAAGCATTTCTCCGAAGAGAGTTCGTAACTGGTTGATATCTATTGTAGAATTTGCATGAAGTATTATAAGGAAAACCCTCTAAACGAGAAGCATGTGTTTCAACTGCCAATCAGACCAGCACTTGTCAAGAATTTCTATCAAAAGTAAGAGAAACATCAACGTTTGTAGCATTAAAAGTCAGATGTGACTCAATACCTGGCTGAATTTTGGCATTTTGTGATTATTCTCTTAGTGATCACCCAGAAATGTGGAAGGTGGACATAAGTAGTGGGCATGGACCGAAGGAGGTTAAAACAACTTGGCAAGTTAGTACTAATCCACCTGTTGAGCATTTGACATCCAACGGTACAGGTAAGGAATATTTGTGGGGACATGGGGTGATGAAAGTACCCACTTCAAACAAATTCAGTTTTTATACTGGATTCAGTGGGTCTGGACTTTTTTCTTATTTATACTCATGCACTTTTCAGCAAAAGTGAAATGATGTTCTGTCGTTTAATGAAAGGGAGAGATTAACAGAATGTAGAAGATTTTCAGAAAGTGGAGACTTTCTGCCTTCTCACCTTTGCTGAGTTCTGGTTTTAGAGTTAAAATGACAGAATAGTTCCCGGTGTGACATGGTGAAGTATTTTCCACAGTATCTTATAACCTGTTTCTAAAATCTTTGCCACTCTACCTGAGAATGGGTTTGAAGAGGAATTTACCTGTTACTGAGTGCTGGTCTCTAGTCAGAGGAGCAGGTGGGCGCTGAGGAGGGCAGGCATGCCTTGCTGCAATCCAGCGTAGAGCAGGTGAAAAAGCAGGAGAACAGGGAAGAAATAAGCCTATAGTCTGGGACAGAAATAATTCGCCTTTTTGGGGTGAGGTTTGATACAGGGTAATGTGCTTTGGCAAAACTTCCCTGTCATTCTCAATTTTTGTCATCAGGTGCTCCTTTCAGTAAAACCTTGAGTTCGGTTTTGAAACCAGTTCTTGAAGCTGCTACATGAACCGATCTCCACAATTTCTCTTGCTGAGAACAGTGGCTAATCACATCTTTCTCCTTTGGCTCCGCAGGTCTCCTTTCTGACTCCACAGTTAATGGAAGCAGTGATGACAGAATGTATTTTATTGCAATGGCTAAGTGCAGTCAGGTGCATTTCGCATAAATGCGTGTTACTCTGCAGGCAGGCACTTGAAAGGTACAGTAAAGGGGAAAGTTCAGTGTTATCTGTGTCCCAACAGGATATTTAGAAACACTCTGATTTGAAGAACAGTAGCTCTGAGTTGTTTGCTTTAGCATGCTTGAAGTGTGACACACCGAGCCGTCATTCACCTGTGCGCATCTGGTTTGTTTGTAAGTGTTGTGCGATTATGAATGTACAGAATAACTGTTTTGAAAATATAGTAGATATTGTTGTTGGTATATTTACTTCAATAAAGTTCTGCACTTTGGGGTTTTAAATTTTATTTTTATTCAGTAACGCAATCAGGCACTGTTCAAAGTGTGAGTTATCTTAACCCGACAAAACAAGCAATAGTGTCATGTTTTCCTGGTGTCCCGTGATGTTTCATCATCCACATGTATTTGGAAATCTGTTCATCCAGGGCGTCATGAACTTCTTACAGTTTGATTTGCTTTGTCCCAGTATTTATATTTTGGAGTATTCTCGGATATACTTCTCTCTCCTCTTCAAATTCACTTTTTCCCTCAATGCAAAGCGAATTATTTTAACAGTGTTGTCTTGTATACTTTTGCATAATTTTCTGAAAAAAATGTTCAGTATAATTGGCTGGGCATGGTCATTTAAATATGTTGGGATGGCAGTTGCGTATGTTCTTATGTTGATTAGACAGTGTATGTAACGTTTCTGGTGATTTTAAACAATTGCATAGTGTAAGATGAAATAACTTGAGAAACATTTTGTGTAAAAGAAACTATTAACTATTGATAAGAATAGGGAAAACTCCAATATTTGTGCTTTTTAAAAAGACATTTCTATAATTTCTGGTTTCTCCTCAGTAAATCTTATTTCTAACCCCTTTCCTACCATTACCTCTTCATAACTGTCAGTTTAATAGTTAGCCTTTGAGAGGAGCTACGGAAAAGGTCCTTTTTGGGATTCACACACTGCTAGTCTGCATTCAGTGTAGGCACAGGCAGCGTGGAGGGTACGGCACGAGCTAGATGGGAAACTTGTTTGTGCCTTTGCTTTAGAGGAATAATTTCGAGCACAACCCAAGGACAATCTAGCCAGGTGGCTCTGTTCTGGAACAAGGTTTTTTTTAATCACATACTTGTCCCTGCCTGCAGCAGAAGTGAATTTGAGGCAGAATATGACATTCCGGAGGTGCTTGGATTACTTAATACACCTGTGTAAGATATTGTGAAGTCCTATGAGGTAAACTCAGTTCCCTGTAAACAAAACCAGCAAGATAAGAGTCCTTGGTTTAAATCTGACTCGGCAGTTGTCATCTTTGATTAATCAGTTCAAATAATTCTTCTCCACACCTAAGTAGTAAGGCACAGATTATCCTAACTTTTGGACACGAATAGTAAGTTAATGCTTAAGCAGTGCTCTTGGAATATTTAAATGCTTTTCTGCTTTAAAATTACGTGTCTGTCTCTCTTCAAATAGCAGTTACATGCTAATTAAAGGTCTGTTGATGAACAGACTGAAATCAGAATTTGCAAACAGCTTTTAATCACTTGAAATTTGCACTGTCAAGATTTGAATCGCTTTAGTCTTAGCTAACTCTTTTTCTGGTGAGCAAAATGTATGGTAGTTTCCAAAATAATAAGAAACATAAAATCTGCTACTTAAAATTAGTAGAAAGTAATGCAGAAAGAGTATGTACTTTGGGTGTTGAGAAAAAATTGAAATTATATTCTGGGAACTGAGTAGAAAAACCTATAAAAGCGCTAGGTGGACAGATGAAGTCATGTATCTTTACAGTGGTGTAAGAAGAGGCATTGGTGGTAAACTTCAAGTGATATAATGAGACTTGAATAATTTTTATTATGCAAAATGAAGATGTGTGTAAGCATGCAGTTTTAACTGTGATTTCGAAGGTAGAATATTAGTAGGACAATACTGACGAGTACGCAGAGAGTGAAAACTGTAGGAAGAACAATCTCTGTCACCATTTCCATGTGAGTAATCAGGGAATCTAAAATTTGAGAAATGAGCAATACATAAGAAATTTAATCTTCTGGAGTATATGAATTGTTAACTTAGAGTTAACATAGATTAAGGATTTTTTTGAACACGTATGGCTGAGATTATTTTGTTAAATGTTGATAATGGCATAAACAGCAAACAAAACAAACAAAATTTCACAAGTCTGCAAAAGCTGGAGCAAAGTCATGATGGCTTTCCCTCTCTTTTCTTTCTAAAGTAAATTTTTGAAGATATGTCAGTGTGCAAAGGGCTGCAAAAGTTGTGCTTACGATGAATCCACTTCAGTGCATTAGCAGTATTCCTTTGGTTTTTATTCCCTCCCTCCCCTGCCAAGGGAAGGGTAGAAAAGAAGATTGTCAAAGAGAAATCCTCGGGAAGCACTTTAGCCTTTTTATGATTGTTTTGCAGCTCTTTGAAAAATTAAATGGGCTTTATTTTATAGAATTTTCCTCCGCAGATAAGCCTCAAAGAGTTCAGTAAGCACAGTTAAGTCCCACAGAACATATCGCTCGGCAGGCGAGGCTAAGCAGCATGAACTTGGGATGACTGCTTTGACGTTTGCTGCTGTATGGAATTTATCTGATCCTTCTTAGGAGACTTTATCGTACTTATTTCATCTTTCTTAAAAGTTTCAGAAATCTGCTGCGGCCGACTGTTCTTCTAGTTCAGGGATTATGGAAGGTCCTGAATTGCACTAGGAAGGTCTTAAGTGAGATGGATTAACCTGGCCCTGTGGAATCTGCCGGCAAAGTCTGCTGCGTTATGTGTTCTTGAGCAGCTGCTCTAAGTTGTGCTGCTGTTGGCTCTGCAACCGGGAGGATGAAAGAGCAGAAACGGGGCTTAACGCTACCTTAGGCCAGTGCTTAGCCCTTTTTTTTTTAATAGTTTTGTTGTATGTGGAAGACAAACGTTTTTGGATATTTTCTGTCTGCATGGTTGTCTTGATTTGTCTGGGTTTGTTTTATGTTGGAAAGAGGAGTTAGCGCTTTTATTGTTTTAAGGAGAATACTGTCATTCCTAGCCTTAATTTTAACTAGTAATTCTTTCAGTTTGTGTGCTCCACTGACATCCACAGTCGATCTGTTTAGCTACAGTGATTTTAGCTGGGGAGAGTAAATGATGGGAATTTTCTTGAGAGGATTGTCGTATCGGAAAGCTGTTGTGCTTTCAGGGAGGAAATACCTTTTAGGACCCGCTAACAGTAGTATTCACAGAGAAATTTAAAAATCTGAAAGTTACATAATACACCTTTATAAAACAAACCAGAAGACACATGATTACCTGTAGCAAGGAGTTGGTGCGTGGTAGAGCAAGTGTCCATGGCCTTCTGATACCAGTTGTTCACCTGAGGAGGTTGACATGCAGCAGTTCTGTTAGACTGGAATATTCTGTCTCATTCACAGCAGCTTCCTCTCTGTCCCTGCATGTTTGTCCACTACAATTGGACTTGAAACTTAATCTGTCAGCGTATGATTTTCTGTAAGTTTCTTTGAATCTTTGTGATTTTTATTACAATATATTTCTGATAGTTAATGGTTTAATAAGATTTTTAAAAGCACATAATATATTCCACACATATGTGTAATTTTCTGCCCAGAAATCTGTCAGAGCACTGGTGACTTATGATTCAGCATTTTTGATTCCATCAGTAAGTCCAATTAGAGTTTGTGAAATGCTTTAGAAACAGTAGTTGAGGCTGGTTCCACTTTCTCTGTCCCTGGAGACATGCATGTTTAGCTCATCCCGAATTTACAGAACCAAAGTGTCATTTCATGTACCATATTCATGCAGGTTGTTTCATGAAATTCAATGTGATACGTGCCCATATATTGAAGAGAAAAAGAAAAAAGAATAAAATTATCAATTGACATCACCTCTCTTGGATTTGGGAATCCATTTGCACTGATAATCTTTTTGTAATAGTCAACGGATGCCTTTGGATATCGTGGTTTGTTCTTGTTTTTAAAATCAATGTGATAAAATCCAAATCTTTCGGAGAAGCCTTTGTTCCATTCAAACTGATCCAGCAGTGACCAGGCAGTATAACCTTTGACATTAACACCATCGTTTAGAGCTGTAAACAGAACACAAATCACTCTGTTAAACTTGTTGCCTATGTTTGTCATCCTTAAAATGCCGTTCTGTAGATGTTCTGGTTTATACCAGACAGAGAGGGGAGAAGGACAGGAAAATGGCAAAGTATAAAGTAGTTTAGATCCTCTGAAAACGTTATCTTTAGCTTAGAGGTACTAGAGCTCTGTAAGAATGGTAATTAGGTGCAATTCCTGCTTTCTAAAAGTGGAAACTGATGCTCTATTACAGTATAAAATCTCATGTAGGTTATTGTATTTATTAACACCACTGCATTTGGCTACGTTGTCATTTTTGTGAAAATTTATTAGTCTAATTTGCTCTTCATTTTGATTTCTCTGTGATGTAAATTACAAGAGTAAAAAATCATCAGAAGGTGAAAACGCTCAAAAAGCTCATGCACTAAAAAGATGATTTTTAAAGTTACCTTTCAGTATTTCATTAATATATCCTTTCAGATACTCTATCCGCCATTCATCACACAGCTGAGTACACTGTACCTTTTCAGAAACTCCATTCTCTGTCACATAAATGGGAGGGTTCCCGTACTGTGTCTGCAAACAAAGAGATGTTTAGATCTGTTTGTGTAAACAAAATCATCTTATTTTGACAGAACATGGGATTCTCAGTAGAATGCATTAAAAGCAGTTTTCTAGATTCACTTACAGTTATCTTTAGTAAGAAAAATGTGTAAATGGTAATTTAGGTTAACTACAGTTTTTATTTCAAGATGACTGAATTCTGTAGTTTTCTGAACAGAAATTAAGGTGGGTTTTTTTGGCAAAGAAACTTCTCAGTATGACAGGACAAATGTATAGGTGAAACTGTTGAAAATCTGAAACAGCGTAAGTGCAGCTCCTGAACTTCTGCATGTAACTGACATTTTGTTCGCTTCCTTTTAAAGATTTACTCTGTAATCACCTTAACGAAGTTGAGTAATCTTCTGAATCCCCAAGGCACAGAATATAACCATTTAGGTCCTGGAGCTGGCCATTTTGGGTCCACCAGTTCAGCCAAATCACGGTCAGTGTGGTAACTGGACACTTGTAGAAAAGGAAAGCTCTTCTGTAGAACGTAACGAGTAGTAAAATGACCTATTCCCAGGAAATCCGATGTGCCTTTAATATAGGTTTTCTCTTGCACGGAGAAAGTTGGTAATCTCGATGTCCCCAGGCCCTGCTGGGCACTCTTCCTACCTATCAAAATAATTATAGGAAACACTTCTGAGGAGCACAGAAATTTGTTTTCTTTACCTCACCAACAATAAACACAGTTTTCCTGAACTTAGTGTTAGTGTAGAGCACAGTTTAGTTTGCTTGCTTTTTGGAGATGGAATAATCTCTTATCCTTTTGGTTTGGAAAAGAAACGGGTACAATACATGGAGAAGACAGTGAATTAAAGTGTTGTTTCTTTTCAAAGATCATGATAAGTGTCAACAGAATGCATGGAATCACAACATGACAAGAACAGAAGTGCTTTGCTGCTGGGTACATTGCCGATTTTCATTCTGTTAAATGAAGATAGTGGAGCCCTGTAGAAGCACAAGCTTTAGTGATGAAAAACTGCTGTTCTTCGGTGGAAAATCCAGAACAGTATTTCACGACCCTTGTCTTGGTTAGGCCTCTAAAAATGGGCTAGGACTGGAAAGCGAGATAGTTGCTTCCTTTCCAGTTTGGAGCACGGAGATGTGCAACCGTTGGGCTCAACAGCAGCTCAACTTGTTAGTTCTCATGTGTCCCCCAAACTGCTCGGGAGCTGCGACTAGCCCGTGGGCCATTTGTGGCTTCGGCTTGTCTCGCCTGCGTCCTCTTACTTGGCTAAACTACATGTGGGTCAGGGGCTATTGGGTGGTAAGATGCTGTGAGGGTGGAGGTTATTCAGGATGTGGCCGGTGACGGAGGCTTACCTACGCAGTTCTTCATAACTTCTGGGTAGTCGCCTCTGAAAATTGGATTTGCAAACCATCCCAAATGAAACTGTATGTATCTTTCAGCAGCGTCTCTGTCTGTCTGGCTATGTGGATCAACAGGTTCACCCCAGCCGCTAGTTAAGGAAATTCCAACCATACCTTAAAACAAAGTGACAATTCTGCAGTTTACTTTTTTTTTTGCATCATCTTTAACCCCTTAGTATAAAGAGAAGCATAATTACAGAATGACTTCTTGTTACCTTGCTGCTCCCTCCGCCATGTGTTGTTGTAAGAGTGCCATACCTTCGCGTGAGTCTGCAAGTTAAAAAACCCCAACGTGCACATTTTAATCTGTTACATCACAGTAT